TTGGTGGTGGTGGTGGTGGCTTTGCTGTGTTGTGGTTGCACGCCAAACTCCAAAGTTCACAGCTCGTGTGATCTCAAGTGCTCCAAAGTGTGAAGGAGAGACACCAGGGAATGTGAATGGTCTCTTGAACACCGCGCGAGAGTGAGCGGGCTGACAAACAGACGAACAGAGGAGCAGACGAACAGACTGTCAAGCTGGGAATATCCAAAATGATTGTGTCCCTTGATTTGTAAATCCAAGACAATGTTCGAACGTTGTTTTGATTGATCTTCCAGCTTTTGGTGGGGTTGTTTTTTTTTGGTTAGGATGCGCGTTCAAAAATGTTCTTTTATGTCGATGATTCAATTTTCTACTAGATACTCAGATGAGAAATAATTGTTGAGAGTTGAGATCAGGGCTGTATAGACCTACAGCCTTGTTGACACAGCTGCGCTGGTATGGTGGTAGAAAAATATCTCCGTGTTGCACTCTGGACTTTCCGATGTAGCCTGAGCCAATCGTATCTCAACTCCTTCCGTCAGCTTGGTCGGGGTGATAATGATGGTGGTGGTATGAAAAGAAGCTAGGAAATGTAGAGGTTGTTGCTTTTTCCTTGTTTTTGCTTTTTGCTTTTTTTTTTGCGTCGTGTTGATAAGTTCAACAGCCAGCTGATAGCAGCCGCGTGAAGAGCAGACGTATAAAATACCAGGGAGTGATAATGAAATCGGTTGAACTCGTTGGGAAGAGTTCAGAACTTGTGTGATTCACAAACAAATCACCAATTATGTTCTCAATAGTGCGTTTTGTAGTTTATTGTGACTGAAAGAGGCACAGGAGATGGATTTGGGAGTTGTGGTATCTGGAAGAAAGGTGTTGATGTTGATGGTGGTTCTAGCTCGTGTTGTCCACTGGCAGGTGAACTTGAATAAACTTCTTGTGAATACTGAGTTCTGGTGTTGTTATAAACTATTATTTATCTCACACTGCAGTAAAACAGAACAACAATAGAACAACATCAGAACACGTGACATGTGATTCACCACTTTAGGAGGAGAAAAAAACCACAAGCACAAAACAACCCAAAACAACAACCAAAACAATGCTTTCATCCAAACTTTCAGCGAAATGATTGACTCCGCCTAAGAATTCACCCTGGACTCAGAAATACACGTACAATGTACCCCCTTACACTCTTCTCAAGTCTTGAGACTTGTGTGAAAATCCCAAAATGTCTACATTGTTTACAACAAGTGAGAGGTTAATGTTTCAGCCACACAGTTCTTAAAACGTTTCGCTTCCCGAAACAATAGCACGTCTGACGTCACACAGCGATGGTTCCTTTTGCTTTTAGATATCTACAGTCCAACCTGCTCTAACAATCACCTGTGTAAGACAATCACCTGCACAAGAAGTCACTTCCAGTTTCCTCCCTGGTGTATACCTTATAGGATACTGACACTGTATAAGCCGTCCACCTTTCTTGAAGACGTGACGTCCTGCTGTCTATAAGACATCCACCTGTCTAGAAGACGTCCGCCTTTCTATAAGCCTTCAGTCAATCAGACAGACGACTCAGACAATATTGACCGTATGTTCCCACAACTCCACGTCAACGCGTGTGCACACCGCCCGTGTCACAGAGACAGGTAGATACCCGGTAGATAGCTCGAGACCGCCTTGGTCTAGACAAAGGCTGACGAAGTGTACTGGTACTTCCAACACAGTCAGGGATAGATAGAGAGATAGACAGAGACCGCCTTGATCTAGACAAAAGGCTGACGAAGTGGGACCTGTAGTTTCACCACTGTCAGCGATAAAGCGCTCTCCTATCGTCCGGGCGGCGAGATTCTGATATTGGATGGCGACGACAGACAGTCCGTGACACAGTAGGGCGAGCGTCGGAGGCTGGTACGGGCGGAACTAGTTCAAATCCTGCTACTGATTGCTGTGGCAAGTTCAAATCCTGCTGATTGCTGTGGCAAGTTCAAATCCTGCTGATCGCTGTGGCAAGTTCAAATCCTGCTGATTGCTGTGGCAAGTTCAAATCCTGCTGATTGCTGTCGCTCGCCGTTCTCAGTGATTTAGGTGGCTCGGTTCGGGCGCAGTCTGTAGTTAGTGCCTGGTGAAAAAAATGGGGAAACGGAATAGGTTTAACGCCTCTATCAAAACTATTAGGTTATAAAATTTAAGAAGCTGGTCCTCCGAGTTTAACGTCCATCTCCGAAAGGACCGAGCCAAACGCAAATTTTGCGTGAAGTGCCCTTCCCAAGGACTCAACGTTGGAGCGGGCTGACAGTGACTGGTCGAGGCTCGACAAGTGACTAGAAGAAACCTTTGCCCTCTTACACTCATAAATGGAAACAGAGAAGTCATAATATTATTATAATTAAGTGCTAAAAAAAGTAGT